TTAGTGTTCTCATATTTCAATTTAGCTTATATACCCATTTTTGTAGCTATTTTGTCAACCGTGAACGTTGGTTCTGGTTTCCTGAATTCCTGGTCCTATAACGCCTAAATATATGCCCACTGTTCCGGGTTGCTACCTGCCGCTTATGTTGCTTAAAAATTCTGCACATATGCACAGTTCAAAAAATATGTTCGATCGGCTTAAGATTTTCACTACTTCATGCGATTCATGCAGAGGCTGACCGTCTAATTCTACCATAATTAGCAAGAGTTGGTGACTTCTACTAGCCTGTTGGTTTTATCTTTTTTGTCGTGAAGTTGTCTTTCGTCCTCCTACCATTTCTCTTCGTTCTTTGGATCTCAGCTTCTGTTACCCCGCCTCTTTTTCTCCTCTCTTTCTCCCTCTATTAATTTTCCCCTCCTCCTTCTGCTTATCGCTTATGGGATAAGTAACTAGCGATTACACTTTTTCTAGCAACTTTTCATTTCAAGAACAACCATGCGTCGCCCATACGGCAGAACGTTGACCTGGTAGACGATGTCTGACCCCGGTATTTGTTCCTACCTAATTAAAGGAAACGAAGACGTCAGAGGATGAAACAGAAAATACATGTGCTCAGAGGCGACCGTTCGCGAGTTTGGCGAATGAAGCTTTATATGTCACGATAATGACCATGTGAATATTAATATTCATCAGTGGTTAATCATAAATTTTTGTCAGATTTTAACTTCATTCCGTTCAACTATAATCTGGTGATAAAGTGGTCAGGCGGTACAGCTTAAATTCCAACAAGGCTGTAATCCGCTGTAATCCATTTGCCTCTCCTACGCGTTAGTTTTTTGGTTTTGGCAGGGGCCTTTTGTTTCTAGAGTTTTAGGAGCATATTAACCCCTATGGATATTCTCATTGGCCCAACTAACTTTGTTGGTGAACCGCAATTACGGTGGGTAATATTTGTTTGTCTCTGGCCTGATTTTGATTTGCCTTGCGTTGATGTAAGCTGTTGAACTTCACAATCACCGACGACGTCCTCGTTCCCACGTCTTGCCCATGCATATTTCGGATCAGTGTATTTCGAAGTCGTGTTTATATCGCTCTTCAGTAACTAATTTTATTGACAACTTTTTTAAATGTCCCTGGCATGAGCCAAGTGATTTATAATGTCCCATTGTATTTTGCTTTTTACGCGTCTTCCGGAATGTGCACGCTACTTTAGACGTTCGGTTTATTTCTTAATGCCTCGTTTAGTAGTAATGAATTTCAATACTAGCTGTATAATAGTAAGTAATAGTGAAGTTTTAGTTTTTATCAGACTCTATGTAAGATTGATCGATAAGTAGCGTGTACAACGGATTGCCGGTAGTTATGAGTTCATTTGGATATAATGAATCACACAGCTGTTCATAATCCAGCTGTGGCGTTCTTATCGTGGATACATTAAAATGGTACGAAATCGGATGGTAGGGCAACTTTGACCTCACCATGTACTCACTTGTAGCTATGGCCTCCGCGAAGGCTGGCTACGAACTCTTAAACCTGAGGAGCTTCTGGTACAGGAAGCTAATATGGTTCATTGTGCCATTTACGGCCATTGTGTCTCAGCCAAGTTGCATTTGTTACTATTCGAATTCCAGTAGTTCGAATGATAAAACAATGCATACACAAGAAACACGAGACATAATTGAAGTGAAGGAAAAGCGACTGTACGACGAGGCACAAAAGACAAACCAGTTCAGATTGACCTCCTTTTCGTGGTTAAATGCCTGAGGGCTTCACAGTATTCTGGACAAGCGGGGTACAAACGTTTGAATGGCTCTTCCCATAGAGAAGGAGACGAATTTTAAACCTTAAGGAATTACTTAACGACCACCGTGCGTTTTAATTTCTGAAGAAATGTTGAGATCTTTTCTTCATGCCCCTTTTCCTTTGAACTCATGGGAAGAATCACGAAACCGTTAAATTTGTGAACTATTTGGAGTTATTCCCTTACTTCAAAATTTCCATTCCTTATGGAAATATACCTGTTTATAGAAAACTAAATTTATACGTAAAGTAACTCAATGCGCTAAACAAACTTTGATGCAGGTTTGCAGAAAGATCATTTGCGCGAACTGCAAGGGCTGCGATTTGATCAAGGAGTGACATGCTTAAAGGCAGTACGGTACCCATTTCAATTCAGTTAGCTTCATCATCCTCTGTCCAGCGGATCTAAGGCATCATGTTCAATAGTACTTCATTTTTCCCTACTGCATGATCCAAATGGCGTCAGTGCATTTCGCAATAGAATCAGAAGAGCAGCAGAGGCAGTAAAGAGAGTCAGGAGATAGAGTTGGATTCGGCAGTGCATGCCTGCAGATGTGCTACCCCTTTTTCTATGCTTAATCTGCGTTAAAGAAATAAATTTTGTACGTGGAATACTGACTCCAGTGCTCTTAATCGTCTCGCGAACCGTTTGATATCTGAAGGCAGCGAAATTCAGAAACTCAATCGTATAATTTACGTGAACTCGCAGTAGCCTCCGAACCGACTGTTGAATCAGCTCTGGTTTCAGGCAGGCCGCGGGTGGCGGCCACAGCCAGCCTGAAGAAGGTTCGAGAACTCCAGCTGTTGTCCAATCCGATGGAAAACACAATATGTATTTTCCTTTAATTCGTATTTTTGTTTCTTTCACCGTCTGCTGGCAAACGGTAGTCTGCAGGTGGATTGGTCATTGCTCCGTCTGCCGCCTACAGGTCGTATTTTTGTTGGTCGACCACTTTTCGGCAACACATTCAAAGGCGCCGTGAGAAACGTAAATATATCTCTGAGTCTTGATTCACCCGACTCATGCAGCTGTTCGCTTTACGATGTTTGCCTCGTCGCTACAAGGCACCTGTCGGCAGCAGGAATGCCAGCAACGTTTAATAAGTTATATTCTGGCTATAGTCATAATTATAATAAGTTTATTGCTATGAAAATTGCGTAGTTTCTCGAAGCACTACTCTGAACGATTTCATCCCGATAAACAGGGATTTCACACTCTTTCGCAATTACTACCTGCAACAGCTTTACGTTCAGTAAAAATTGGGCGACTCAGACACATGAGGCAGTTTTGATCAGATCTGCTAGAAGCAAACTTATTCAATACGAATGGCATCACCTGCATTTGAGGAATAAGCAGGCCAATCCGAGTGTAAGTCTTTCTTCAGCAGCTAAAGGCCGTTGTTCGTTTGTGGTCTCGTCGGAGTCAAACATAACGACAAGCATAGCTTCGTTTCATCACAGCTTTTATTCAAAAGATTTCCCTCAGAAATGGATACGACTTTAAAATATTAAGAGGTCGGTCAACTGATGGTTCCAATTCCCCTGATGGCTGTTGATTTCTCGGGTTATTCAGAAGCTTGCTTAGTGTCAGTTATGAAGAATAATTGAACAATATTTCTTTTCGGCGTGTGACACCATACTCTAAACCTCTCATCAACGTAGAAACGAGTTTGGATTTACAGGATAGCAGGCACGCTGACAATGTTCGAGGTAAGTCTGAAATATCGTTCGTTTTTTTATACTTCTGTTTCGCAGCAAGACCGTTGTCGATAATCAGTGTTTGTTAGTTATAGAAGTAAATCGGTTTATTTATCATTTATATTTTGTTTGGTGCCATCAGTCTGAATGGGTTTCTTAACTTTAAAAACGGCTATTTTTTAAACATATCCTATACTTTCAAACTTGGAGTCGTTAGTTCGTGCGTTGGCGATCTTGCGGTAAAAACAGTTTATTTATAAACAATGCAAACAATTTGGTCGGTAGAAAGACTTAACAGTACCGACGTTCTGGCCCATGTCTCACGAGCCTTCTTTAGCATAAAAGGAGAGTGATTTTCATATGTTCTTCTTGTTCAACAGTTCGTGAGTTCAGAACGCGAAGGCTGTCGTTGATACATGGGTCGAAACGT